CATTTAGTTAATCCACGTATTATCCTTATGAGGCAGGTACTATTATGGTCATGTGCTGTATAACAACATTTTGGTCAACAACAGACCATGTAAATGGTGTGGATAACACCAAGGTCTAGGATTCAGATCTCCATACCAGCTGGCTGCCAAAAATAAAACATTCCTGAGATAGGTAGTATTGTTCTTATTATACAGACTTAACTCCAAAAGTTTAATATTATCATCATTTTTATTACCGCCCAGCTAGCAAGTAGCAGAGCTGTGCTTCTTCTACCTGGGAAACTCTTCCCAAGTAGGATTCATTTAGATGTCTGCTCAGATCTCAGCTCCAATGAGATCCCTTTCCTCAACCTCTTTAAAACAGCACCTCCATCCTTCTACAGTTTGAGATCTACTGTGTGAAGGCATAACTTGTAGCTCTGTACTTGATCCCTCTCACTTATATAATGATAAATACTGCCAATCTTTCTCCCCCAATTACTCTATGCAACTCTTGTTCACAAAGTCCTCCCCTTGGACATACCTTCTCCGTGAGCTCTTTGAGAATAGCTCCTCCTGTCTCCCTTGGTTACTCCCTGATATAGAAAACACAAATGCTTTCTGGGGCCAGTCAGGTAATCTGTCTCAAAGGGGCATGGTGTAAGACCTTAGACAGTACAGTGCTGGCCACTGCCCAAAGACATTCACATTACAAAAAAAAGTTAAACCACTGCTGGCCCAACAAAAACACCTCTAAGTCAAGTTTGGCCACTGGCCACCAGTTTACACTCACTTCTTGGCTAATTGTCTCTCAAATCAGTAAGCAGCTGTGGAAAGAGTGAACGCTGGACAAGGAAACCTTCATTTGAAGCACAGCTCTGCTACTTGCTAGCTGGGCGGTAATAAAAATGATGATAATATTAAACTTTTGGAGTTAAGTCTGTATAATAAGAACAATACTATCTATCTCAGGAATGTTTTATTTTTGGCAGCTGGCTGGTACGGAGATCTGAATCCTTGACCTTGGTGTTATCCACACCATGCTATAACCAACTGAGCAAACCAGCCAGCCCAGGAGTGTTTTAAAGATGGAGATCATACACTCAAAATATCCACCCTATGATAAGCCTGCAATAAATTTTTCATGCATTTGTGATATTTCCTATACTATTTTGATTCATTATATGCTTCATTCTACTTGTATTTATGAACAGTTTAGTTTAGCCTCTCTCTTCTATTAAACTCTAAGCTCCTTTGGGACAGAGATAGCCTTCTGCAACCCTTTGGTAATTAGTCACTCTGATGGCCACTCCAACTTTCAACCAAAGCTTGTGTCTGGAAGTCTGGTTGTATGTGCTAGGGATCTGGAGCAACATAGTCAACTCTACTAACTACATTGTATATTGACAAAAAACAAACAAACAAACAAACAAACAAAAAAAACATAGTCAACTCTTAGTACAGATGTACATTTTATATGAGCATGTATGCGGCTGGCTTAATCTCCAAAGTTATGATTCCCTTCATTATATACATAAAATGTAAAAGATCAAGAACAATGATGGTTGTTCTGTTGCTAAAAGTGGATGACTTTCGCTTTTACATTTACGGCAAACCCTTGAATAACACGGGTTTGAACTGCGCACATGGATTTTTTTCAATATATTGGAGAATTTTTCCTTAGGCATGTCATGCCTAGCCAAACAGGTACCTAACAGTAGGTTATTAGTAGGCTATCAGGGAAAGCCCTCAAAAGTTAAATATGAATTTTCAACTGGGGGTGGTCGGCACATTGTTCAACCATACAACGTTTGTTAAAAGTAATGCATGAAGTTTAGAAATGCCATACTAGAAATTCTAAAAAAAATGGATTTCAGTTTTAACTGAATTGGGCAATTCAGATACTAGTGATGGTGGGGTGATAGTTGTAGAAGGGGTATGCATCAGAGCAGCTAACAGTGGGTGCCCAGCTCATTTTTTCCATCTGGAATACCGAGACAAGAATAAGAACTATTATCTATCCCCCAAAGATCCTATAAGTTAATTAGGCAATTAAGATATGGAGTTTGGGGGGGAAGAGGAAGGAACCATGTGGGTCTCTGATAAGCAGGTTAGAGGCTTTCTACACTCCTATGGCTTGATAAGAAACAGTATGTCATATTTTTGCCCTAACAAAGTTTTCTTTTTGTTACTGTGTAGGTATCCATACCTTCTAAGGGCAAGTAAAGAATTAATCCATATATAGAACTTGGCATGTTTAATTATCAATGCTCCTTTACTTATGCTACCTTTCACACTTTCTGAACTTTGACTGCATCTATAGACTTATTAAATAAGTGACTTTCAGATTAAGTGATCTAATTTAATTCCACATTGCTTGGAAACTTATCTCCTCTCCCTCCCCCCATTAACTATGCTTTATACCAGGGTATTTTTATTTTTTTCCTCAACAGTATAATCCTTAAAACTGTGAGAGACAAAGTAACACAAGAATTTAAATCAAATTTAGTTTGGAAGGAATGTTTCTAACTAATCAAGGTTCCATATGGGGAAATGAACACCGGATCCATCAAGTGAATTGTGCTTGATAAGCCAGAGAAAGGCTTCCCATTTTTTACTTATTTTTTATTTTTATTTATTGTTTAAATTTATTAAGAATATTCATGAGATACAAAGCTAATTGTCACCTCTTGTGCCCATGATGTGAGGGCCAGATTCATACTGGGGCATACCCATTACCAGAAATTACTTTTTTACCCTTTGTCCCCACCCAATTACCCCCCGCTTCCCATTTTTTAAGTGGGGTGGAAAGTGGTTATTTTGTCAAGGTACGGTTCCAAATGACATACTGTATTCAGATGCAATTAAAAAAAACCCTACTTCACTATTTATAGGTATCATCAATAAGAAAAATTTGGCTTGGTAATGTTAAGATGTAAAAGTGCATGGCAGTGTTAGAATTGCAGACTGCTGTCATCTCCTGCACTCCAAGGATTTAATAATTCAATTCTTTAGATTCTGTATGAGAAAAATAAAGTTTTACTGAAGGTGTAACTTCTCAGTCACAGCAGAAAATAATTTCCTGCTAAAGGTCATACCCAATTTCCCAATTTATAAGCATTCAATAAAAAATCAGTTCCAAGACCAACCTATGTAGTTACCACCAAACCACTGTCAGAATGAAAATAAACAACTTTTCCTGCATGAATTAAATATTTAAGAAAAACTTTATTGACAAACATCCCCTTCAAAATAGGAATCTTTCATGTCTGTCTTACAGATAGTTCATTTCAAACCATCAAATTCTATTAATTCAAAAAACCTAATAAGGCAGTTTTCTTGGCAGCTCCAGAAAACTCAAATGATCTCATGAACTGCACTGATGTCTCTATTTTGTGCCAAATGTTTCAGAAATTTTGAGGTATTCCACTTATCTAAGGTACTAAGGTTCCAGAAAGCAAGACTTTACAGAATGATAAGTGAATGGGGCTGACTGTACAATAATAATTAAAATAATACTAGATTTCAATTAACATATGAATGCGGTTTGTATGAAAACGCAGTTTTCTAGTTCACAAGTAATAAAAGAATAAAGCTCCTTGCCTTCTTAAGGGTTAAACATCCTTGATTCATTAAGAGAGGATCCAGGGGCCTGGCATATGTTATGAGCCTAACGGCTGGCTCTTTTGTAGGAAGTGGAGTAAAAAGCACTTTGGGTTGTAGATTGGGCTCCAGAGTAAACTGGACAAGTCACTTAATTCCTTTTAGTCTCAGTTTCCCTAATTGCAAATAAAGTCAACACCACCTGCTGAAAGTATTACAGGACTGGTGTGAGAATGAAATGATATATGTGAACATATTTTGTAAAGTATAATGCAATAGTAACCAAATGTTAGTTACTATTCTAATACTGGCCTTACCTTTCCTGCCTATGTCCCTATCTGTAAAATGGGTACAGATCTGAATGCCTATCCACTCACTTTCAGGATGCGTGAACTTGAACAAGTCATTTCTTTTCCGGACCTGTTTTCTGAGAAGGTTATTATGAAGATCAAATGACATCGTGTATGTAAATGCTGTGCCAGACCTATATTAAGAACTTAACAAATGACAGCTGTTATTACTATTCTCTGGAAGGTTGTAGGGACCAAACGAAATTATATCTAGTCAAAAGGTTTGGATATGTACATAAAACTCTCTACACATCCAAAGTATTGTTATCTGTACGGTAAAATGCAAATACATACAAGGAACGAGAAACCAAATGGCGCCTCAGCGACTCCCACGAGGGGGGAAAGGTAGAAAAGGGGGTCAGGCTCCTCGGTGACATAGAATAGCGATTGGAAAGAGAACAGAGAGGTGGGGCGGGGAAAAAAGACCCGAAGAGACACCCCGAGAATCAGTTCACTATTTCCCCCGTTTTCTTATGACCTCCAGCCTAGCCTAGAACATTTTATTCAACTTCCCAGCCCGTCATATCTCTGGACATTTATTTACTGTACCTTCTTCACTGACAGCCTTTCCACTCCCCTCCCCTTCTAGCAGTCGAGAACTTCAGACCCTCAGCTCCGACACCCACTCCCTTTAACTCTGTTTTTACCAAGCTTCCAGGCCTGTTCCCCTCCGCCTAAAACGGAAGTGCGGCCAGACGCTCCGCAGGGCATCCTAGGAAATGTGGTCTCTCAGACTCTTTCGCTTGGGTCTCACAGTGGGAAAGACGACAAATGAGATCCAGTTAAAACTACAACTTCCGGCAGGCGACGCGAGTCACCATCTTTCCTTCTGTCCCCCCTTCCTATTGCCTTCCTCTTCCTCCTCTCCTCGGGCTATGAACCGCATGGTCTGTCGGTATTTGTAGTTCTTTCTGGACCCAAGATCCTAGAACTCGATGGCCAGGAGAGAGGATAGGAGACTCTAATTCCCAGAAGGCATAGCGGAAATTGCGCCTGCGCACTCTCAGTGAGGGCGTGTAAGACTGTGTGTCTGAGGGAGAGAGAGCGAGAGTGAGTGAGTGTGAGTGCGGGGTTGGGTGGTGGCCGTTACGTTCGGGGCAACGGCTACGGCACTGGAGAAGTAAAGAGAGAAACAACGTCCGGCGCTTCCGCCTTCGCTTAGGAGGAGGAGCTGGTAGGGAAAGGAAAGTGATTCGTTCTGGGCCTGGACTAGACCGAGTCGGGCCGGTGGGGGTCTGGGCTATGAGCCTTTGAGGGTCGCTTGGGACGCGGAGCGAGCAACGAGAGCCGAGAGCTATGTCTCAGCCGCCGCCGCCACCTCCGCTGCCGCCGCCACCTCCTCCCCCTGAGGCTCCGCAGACTCCGCCGTCCCTGTCGGCGGCGGCGGCTGTTGCTCCGGGGGGGCTCTCGAAGCGGAGAGACCGGAGAATCCTTTCCGGTAGCTGCCCGGATCCGAAGTGCCAGGCGCGTCTGTTCTTCCCGGCCTCCGGTTCTGTCAGCATTGAGTGTACCGAGTGCGGACAGCGGCACGAGCAGCAGCAGCTGCTGGGGGTGGAGGAGGTGACAGACCCGGACGTAGTGCTGCACAACCTGCTGCGGAACGCGCTGCTCGGGGTGACGGGGGCACCCAAGAAGAACACGGAACTGGTAAAGGTAATGGGCCTTTCCAACTACCACTGCAAATTGTTGTCGCCCATATTAGCTCGCTATGGAATGGACAAACAGACAGGCCGGGCCAAGCTTCTCCGGGAGATGAACCAGGGAGAACTGTTCGATTGCGCTTTACTCGGTGACCGCGCCTTCCTCATAGAACCAGAGCATGTTAACACAGTGGGCTATGGCAAGGACCGCTCCGGAAGCCTTTTATATTTGCATGACACTCTTGAGGATATCAAGCGGGCCAATAAAAGTCAGGAATGCCTCATTCCAGTGCATGTGGATGGGGATGGACACTGCTTGGTGCATGCTGTATCTCGGGCTCTAGTAGGCCGGGAGCTTTTCTGGCATGCCTTGAGAGAGAATCTTAAACAGCACTTTCAGCAGCACCTGGCCCGATATCAAGCCCTGTTCCATGACTTCATTGATGCCGCGGAGTGGGAGGACATTATCAATGAGTGTGACCCTCTGTTTGTACCACCTGAGGGTGTTCCATTGGGCCTGAGGAACATCCACATATTTGGTCTTGCCAACGTGTTACATCGTCCTATTATTCTCTTAGATTCCCTCAGTGGCATGAGAAGCTCTGGTGATTATTCAGCCACCTTTCTGCCTGGGCTCATTCCTGCAGAAAAGTGCACTGGGAGAGATGGTCATTTGAACAAACCAATCTGTATTGCCTGGAGTAGCTCTGGGAGAAACCATTATATCCCCTTGGTAGGCATAAAAGGAGCTGCTTTGCCCAAACTACCTATGAATTTGCTTCCTAAAGCATGGGGTGTGCCTCAGGACCTTATTAAAAAGTACATCAAACTTGAAGAGGATGGTGGTTGTGTTATTGGAGGAGACAGAAGTTTGCAAGATAAATACTTACTTAGGCTTGTTGCTGCTATGGAAGAAGTCTTTATGGACAAACACGGTATCCATCCTAGTTTGGTTGCTGATGTCCACCAGTATTTCTACAGAAGGACTGGGGTGATAGGAGTTCAGCCTGAAGAAGTTACAGCGGCTGCTAAAAAAGCAGTAATGGATAATCGCCTTCACAAATGTTTGCTCTGTGGTGCCCTTTCTGAACTTCATGTTCCTCCAGAGTGGTTGGCTCCAGGAGGGAAACTGTATAACCTGGCAAAAAGTACTCATGGACAGCTGAGGCCTGACAAAAATTATAGCTTTCCCTTGAACAATTTGGTTTGCTCATATGATTCACTGAAAGATGTTCTGGTACCAGACTATGGATTGAGTAACCTAACGGCCTGTAATTGGTGCCATGGCACATCTGTGCGAAGGGTCAGAGGAGATGGATCTATTGTGTATTTGGATGGAGACAGAACTAATTCTAGGTCTACTGGTGGCAAGTGTGGTTGTGGATTCAAACACTTTTGGGATGGTAAGGAGTATGACAATCTACCAGAAGCTTTCCCTATTACTTTGGAATGGGGTGGAAGAGTGGTCAGAGAAACAGTATATTGGTTCCAGTATGAAAGTGATTCATCTTTGAATAGTAATGTTTATGATGTTGCAATGAAACTTGTTACCAAGCACTTTCCAGGAGAATTTGGGAGTGAAATCCTAGTTCAGAAAGTTGTCCACACTATATTGAATCAGACTGCCAAAAAGAATCCTGATGATTATACTCCTGTAAATATAGATGGTGCTCATGCCCAAAGAGTTGGAGATGTACAAGGACAAGAATCAGAGTCTCAGCTCCCAACTAAAATTATTCTTACTGGACAGAAAACAAAAACTTTGCACAAAGAGGAGTTAAACATGAGTAAAACTGAAAGAACTATTCAACAGAATATTACAGAACAGGCTTCTGTAATGCAGAAACGGAAAACAGAGAAGTTAAAACAAGAACAAAAAGGGCAGCCCAGAACTGTTTCTCCCAGTACCATTCGTGATGGTCCATCCTCTGCACCTGCTACCCCTACCAAGTCTCCCTATTCACCTACAACTTCCAAGGAGAAGAAGATCCGAATAACAACTAATGATGGACGACAGTCCATGGTTACACTTAAGTCTTCAACAACCTTTTTTGAACTTCAGGAAAGCATAGCCAGAGAATTCAACATTCCTCCATATTTACAGTGCATTCGATATGGCTTTCCTCCTAAAGAGTTAATGCCACCACAGGCAGGAATGGAAAAAGAGCCAGTTCCTTTACAGCATGGTGACAGAATTACAATAGATATTCTAAAAAGTAAAGCAGAAGGTGGTCAGTCTGCTGCAGCACACTCAGCCCACACTGTGAAACAAGAAGAGATTGCTGTTACTGGTAAACTGTCATCTAAGGAACTTCAGGAGCAAGCTGACAAAGAAATGTACTCCTTGTGTCTTTTAGCAACATTAATGGGTAAGATCAATTTAACTCAAATGGTGTATGTTAACTTATTTGTCAGTACAGTACACTGAGTTTTTCTGTCGTTTTGGGGGTAAAATCGTTGGCCATTGTAAATATTTAATTATACCGGGAGAAAATTATTTTCTGTAGTGTTTTGACAGTTAATGGATAGATGTTAATGTAATTATTGGGTAAATACTAGGAAAACATAACTAGAAAGTGAAAGTAGTCCTCAGCTGTCACCAGATTATTTAAATATCTTATTCTCGCAATTATTTTTTTTTAAAAAAACATACTTGTATCTATTTCAAGCCTTTTCATTTTCTTCTAGGCTGTATTGAGCCTGCCCACCTTGCCCCTTTTTCATTTATTTTTAAATTTTTTCCTGCATGTCATGTGATTTCATGACTTCCTGTTTGATGAATTGCAGTTTCTGGCGTTTGTATTCCCACTGCACTTCCACCTAATACCCTCTCTCTTCCATTTCCTGTTCTTCCTTCCCGAGTTTATTACATTTTTCTTATTTGTATACTATGATTTGTGTTTAAGTAATTTCACTGCTCAGTGAATCTTTGCTATCGATTGTAAATGAACTATTAATAGCTCGTGAGAAACATAAGAAACAGAAATAGATGGTAATGGGGTTAAGAAGTATTTCTTTTTAATAATTCAGCATAAATTAAAGGAGAATATATTGTCGACCAAATGTGTGATTTAAAGCTTTAGATAATTTGTGATACTGTCCAATGGTGCACTTTTTACATTATCTTTATTTGCTTCATCTTTGTTTTAAAATCATTAACATGCTTTATTAAGTCTTACAGTATGAAGTAAAAATTAAATATATTCAATATTGGAAGGGCTTTATTTTTGCTGAGATTAGAGCTTTCAACTAGAAAAGTGATCTAGGTTTTCTTTTTTTCTAAGAGTAATAAATAGCAGTGAATTGGGCCTTGATCTACCAAAATGAAGATGGGGGCCTCGTAGTTAATAGATCTAAAAACTCTGCATAAATTTATAACTTTATATTGCTGATTTTAGTTTGGCAGATGTAGTAATTGGATTGGGGAATATGTAAGGAGCTGTCCTAGGCACTTTACATATTTCTATCTCTTGGGGTTTTTTATTTCTTAGAGACTGCGTGGAATAGAGGAAAGATTGTGTGATCTTTGAAGTCAGAAAGACCTAGAATTTGAATCTTGGCTCCATTACTTATTAACTTAGAGATTTCGGGCAAGCTCCTTAACTCCCAGTACTTATTTCAGTTGCCTCCTCTATACAAAATACCTCTTGTAGTTGGTACATAAGGACAATGGTAAAATATTCCTAGAATGCTGAAAATTAAGTAACGTCCTCACAGAATAGATAGAATTAGATATGTGCAGAAAGCACTTTAAAACACTTGCAATCTCCCAGGTTAAAACAGGAAAGAGAAGGTCTTCCTCAATAGAACTCTTGAGGATGTGGCTCATGTCTTCTCTCACTTTATATGCTCAGCACTTTGTATCATGCCCGGCAGGTAGTAGGGACTTTGAAATGTTTTTTGAGTGAGTTAAATAGATGACATTAACATATCTAAAGAAAGACTGTATCTGCAGAAATGGAATGGATGGTCAGCACTGAACATTGAAAAAGAGTCTGAAAAGCAGAATTTGGCAATGTTTATACACTGCTGTACAAAGGAAAAAGATACATTATCTGGGGCTCATGAAAATTCTGGTAACTAGAAAGGGAATCTCTGTTCAATGGCAGGAATATTTGCTCAATCCTGACCATGGCCTAGCTGAAAGATCTCTGTCACTTTACTGATTTCATAGTCATCAAGCATCTATTCTTACTACTTATTTAGCTTCCTGATAATAAGTTTTGATGTACAGGTGAGAGTGCAGATAAGGATTATGTTCACTTGGAAGGCTATGTTCTCCAATGTAGGTTAATAAACTGGAATGGGTGGGATTATGATCAGTAGTCTTAAAAGTCAGATCAGCATAATAATATATTTCATAGTAAAAATTAGTAAAATATAATTCTGGTTTATAATTAGTTACTTTGTGAGTTTGGTTTGAAGTTCCTGGACCTGAATATCTGAGAACTAGACTGTGGACTGCAATGAGTCCACCAAGATAATGTCTTTCTGCTCTGATCTCTTCCCTCTTCACCTCCAACATTTATGTGCTGCTCCTACAAACCCACATATTTCTTTAAATCTACTTCCACTGCCAACACAAAATTTAAGAGTGTTTTGCTAATTTTATAGAAGTAGCACTTGAGAGACTTTCTGTTAAAAGTACTAAGACAGTGCCATGGCCTGTATTAGTTTCTCTATAAATATTAATTTTCTCCCTCTAATTGTCTTATAGCTATATTTGAATTATATAGAAGATATTAAGAATATGATATGTGAAAGTGACATGTTTATAAAAATTTCAATTTGGGCATAGTTATATACATACAACCTTATATAAAGAGTTCTGAAGGACTTGATGTTTAGATTGGAAAGGGCTGGACAATGACAGGGCTTGTTTAGAAAACTGCAAATTTCAAAGTGCAGAAATTACTTTATGTATTACCAAATGTGAGCCAAGCTGCTGTATGTTAGTTTAGAAAATAGCTCATCAAGCTTTATGCTGTTCAAATAGCGGGCTCCTTCTCATTTAGATTTAGGCTTAAATACCACTTTCTAAGGGTTTGAGAGTCCTTTCCTGACCATTATAAGTAGGTCCCCTCTATAATTATACCCTGTTCATTTCCCTCACAGCATCTGTCTCCCCAACTATATTGTAAAGTGCACAAAGTTGGAGACCGTAACCTATGTTATTCACTAATGAATACCTTATTACCTAGTACAGGGCCTGGCACATAGTTAAGTGCCAAGTGAATGCTTGTTGAATGAATGAATGCAGATTATTTCAGCAAAATGAATGTATGCTATGAGCTCAAGACTGTGCTGGGGGTACAAAGATGAATGAGACACAGTCCTTGCCTCCATAAATTTACCTGCAGGATCTCAACTGATGGAATCCCATACTTTTTATAGCTTTCACCAGCAGATCTCCAGCTTTCTTTTCTACATACATAAAAATTATAAAATCCCAAAATATGACCAGTATAGCATTTTAGAAAACTTCTCATTTGGTTAAGAATCAAATACACACACACACACACACACACACACACGCGCGCACACACACAGAGACACACACACACACAGAGACGAAAACTTCTCATTTGGTTAAGAATCAAATACACACACACACACACACACACACACACGCGCACACACACAGAGACACACACACACACACACACACGGATTGTATATCTTCATTGAATAGGCTGACTGTCAAGGACATCTATTTTTCCTTTCTTTTGTTTTTAAATAAAATATTCATTAAATAGAATTTGTCTATTTATATCAACAAAACAATAAATAAGTACATCAATCCTTTGCTCAATACAAACCATTCATGGAACTAGTCACTTTGAATCTTTTGATGGTAGTATAAAATGGAATAACAGTGTTCTACCTGTAATAGTTCAAATTTTAATTTGTTTTTTCCAGACTACTGTAGGTTATTGAACTTAATATTTTGCAGACCGTCATCTTCATTATTTATATCTGACTTGAATGACTCTTACTCTGGCTTTGCAAAATATGTTATTAAAATTTCTCCTAGTCTGAACCCGTGGCGCACTGGGGAGAGTGCAGCGCTGGGAGCGCAGCAGCGCTCCCGCCGCGGGTTCGGATCCTATATAGGGATGACTGGTGCGCTCACAGCGCTCACTGGCTGAGCGTGGTGCGGCCGGTCTCAAAGAGGACAAAAAAAAACCCAATTTCTCCTAGACCAGTTATTTGTGGATTTTCTTATGTGATAGATGTAATGGGTGGTACATTATCCATCATAAATACAAGGCTAATTAAAAAACAATTTTTAGAATTATATTTTGTTAAGTTTCTAGTTTTTTTTTTCTCAAGAGGTAAAGACAGATTTAGGTGAAAAATGGAATTTGTCAGTTTGGAGTTACTTAAATGGAATTAGGCTACTTGTGATATTTACCTCACTTTACTACAAAGGTTATCAACCACTCAGGAGTTGGGGAGCCTGTTTGCTTTTTTTTCTTTTGCCTTTTTTGGTTAAAAATTTATTTTTAAAATTTTTATTGAGTAATTGATTATACATATTTTTGGGGTTCAACATTGACATGTTGATCAAATCCATATTACTAGCATATATATTGTTACAAATTGTACTTATTCTTTATGCCCCTTGTCCAATTTCTCCCCATCCCCCCTCCCTCCTCCCTCTCCCTCCCCCCTCTAATTACCCTAGATTTCTTCTCTCCTTCGGAAAGAGTAATGGTTACTGTTGATTTGTTGCCTAGATGATCTGTCCAGTGCTGAGAGGTATGTTCAGGTCCCCCAATATTATCATAGAGCAGATGCTTCTTCTGTAACTCTGGAATGAGCTTTGTGGAGAGAGTTATTCTCTTCTTTTCTTTGGTCTCTGCTGGTGAGTCTCCTTGTATCAGTGCATTCCAGTGGCTGGCAGACAATCTGCATGGTGGTTGTGGCATCTAGCTGCTTTTGCAGCAGCCCTGGTTATTGTGGTGGCTATGGTGGGCCACCCACATGGAGGTGATGTTTTTGGCATGCTCCTTACCTAGTTGGTGGTGATGATGGTGGTGTGCCTGGTTGTGGGAGGAGGGTCTGGTTCCCGATCCATGCCTCCAGATCCCGGGAGGGCCCCATGGTGCTGGCAGTGTGCCTGGTTGTTCCCCATTACTGGGTTGATAGCCCAGGGGACTTCCAGTCCTTCTAGGTGTTATAGGTGTTCTCTGGTGAAATGAGACCTTTACTAATTAATATCAAACTTTGTGTCTGGTTGTGGGTACTCTCTTTTTTCTTTCAGTTCTGCGTTGGATTATTTGCTGTTCTCGCCACTTAAACTCTGTGCTGGAACTAATTTGTTGTCCTTTGCTTACTTCTTAAGTGGGGGAACTTCTGGTGGGGA